ATGGGGGGCTATGTCAGGGATGATATGTGATGGCCTAGGGGCATATTATTTATGATATCAGTGTGGTGGTGTGACTTCCTTGTGTGTGTCATGCATATTGCGTGATTTATTGTGTTATTTCCAATGTGGTATTCAGTGCCTCTGATATTACTTGTTGACTTGAGTTGTGATCGTACACTTTCACATGCATACATCGTAACAGATCGCCTATACCAGTTCAGGAGTGTGAATCTTGATGTTCATTAATCATGTGAATGTATTCTTGTATATCTGCATTCTGTATGTGGATTAGACTGGTGGCACGTGAGTTGTCCGTGCGAATATGAGATATTATTACTTTTGGCACCTGAGTTGTCCATGCGGATATGATATATTGATATTATTGGCTCGTGAGTTACGTGAGTTATCTATGCAGATATGAAATATTGATGTTATCGGCACGTAAGTTATCCGTGTAGCACGTGAGTTGTCCGTGCAGTTGTAATAGATAAAAGTGGGCACGTGATACCATGTGGATATGATTCGTGATTTAAGACTCGTGATTTGTGTTAGTCGAGGTGTGGTACCTCGGGGTGATTCTCGTTGTAATTCCTGTGATGGAACGGTTGATGAATAGAACAGTCATAATATTCCCTTAATTGCTTTAACGTGTTTATTATCTGTGTTTTGATTATTCTGCTGTTTATCATCATGATTACCCTTCATTGTCATTTATTTACTTATTTTTTCGTTGTTAGGTTTATATTAATATTTTGTACACGTTATTTGACTAGTAGGTATCTTAACTTGAATCTCATCACTACTTTACCGAGGTTAGTCTTGATACTTACTAGGTACCGATATGGTATATTTATACTATACTTATGTACTTTTTTGTGCAGATCCAGCTATCTAAGTGTTCCAGACATTAGTTAGGTGCTTGTGATTTGCTGTAGAGACTTCAAGGTATACCTGCCATTGCGTTTGCAGGCCTTAGAGTCACATCCTGTTGTCTTTCATTACTACTGTTTATTTTCATTCCAGAACAATATTGTATTTAGAAATTTGTTCTGCACTCAGTAGAGCTTATGACTCTGTACTATCAGTTGGTGTCGTATGACTAATGTCTGGTTCAACTATGCTATTTCAATTATCAGTTATCATTTTGCAGTTAAATTGGTTAATTATGTTAATTCTCAACATGTGTTAGACTTACCTAGTACTAGGGACTAAGTACCATCATGGCCCTTAAGGTGAGATTTTGAGTCGTGACAATTCAATAAATGGGAGAAGTTACAGCCTTGTAAGGGTGGTCAATTGACCACCCTTCTTCAAAACATTACACTATATATATGTAAAATATTAGATTTTAGAGGTATATAACATATATTGAACACTCTTTGTCGGAGATTTTTTTTTTTACTTCTTTCAAATTTGAACACCCCCTAGAAATTTTTTTGGTTTCGCTACTAATTCAGTACACCGATGAAAAATTCCTACTAAATTATTTCATTAACAACATAGATCTCATAGGCTTTCAATTAATAGAGGCCTAAATCTTGATTCGTACTTTAACTCACTTAGTGCATTTAGTTTCTGCAGCCGCATACTAGATCTAAATGTGTCTGATCTTTGAGATCTATAAGAAAATGATAATTTAATAGTTCAATTGATTGTTATCTTAACTTTTATCTTGTTGGTAAATGTTTGATTTCTCACGTTGTAATCTTTTCCTTCATTTTCTTTTCCCTCCCCTTGTATCTCTATAGAGATCTTTTATATTATTCGATTTTTATTTTGTTTTCTTAGTTAAAAGATTGTATAGTTGTAAAATATTTTATTTTCTAGTTTTACTAGCTTTAATGTATCATAAATACTAGTTAATTGTTATAGAGACAAGTGAATATCAATACAATATTCTTTTCTCTTATTTTCAAGTTGTTGAAAAAATAATTAGGTAAATAAAAATGTGCTTTCTCTAATAGCTTAAACTTTTAGATAAGTTGATCATATACTTCAATATGGTATCAGAGCATGAAAAGGTCATGAGTTCGATAAGTCTCACCGCCACCATTAAATGAATTTCTATGTGTTTGGCCAATGAAAAAAATATTAATGAAGCATGTGTGTGAGTGAGCGTGTTAAAGAAATAATTATGTAAATAAAAGTATACTCTCTCTAACAGTTTAAACTTTTTCAAATGAGATAGTCATACACTTAACTAATATGCAATCAGACAATTTCAAGCCCTCTTTTTGAATAGCAACAATTTGAACATAAACACACTTTTGACATGATAATTAAAAATAGCAACTTCTTTTTTAATGCTTTTATAATTTTTAGTTTGTAAAAGTTTTGACAGGGAAAAGAGATCAATTTAAAAGTAAACACAAATTAAGGAAGGAGTAACAAAACAAGAAATAATTACTCAATTATTTATTGTTTGGTTACATGAAGTTTCCAATTGTTACAGTTTTATTTTAGAAATTAGTATAGTGCATGAACAATTACTAGAAAACAATAATCCTTTTTACTTTTAGGATTCAGACGAAGAAAATTGCGAATTATATGGCGAATGTTGGACTAACCGAGAATATATATTTGCGCATATACATTAAAATATGGGGAAATCTCTTATATCTCAGCTATTCACTGCTATTTTTATGGGATCACAATAAATTAACTAGTTTAACTATCAACTTCGGATCAAAAACCTATATACAACAAATGAGAGGAGCCACCTCAAGTTCATCTCTTCGTTAACATATCAAGCTCGTGCCAATAGTTGAGCTGACTAATGAAAAAACGACTTTTGATTTAATGAAATAACTTTAACGCAATAATTGAGCGGAGTCGATTAATCATAATAAAGTCTACATTAAATAAATGAACTGGTCGACAGCTGGAAACCTTGCTTCCAATTTCTCATATTTTACTAAAAATAGTTGTCTTAAATTATTTGTCATTTTAGAAATTCAAGATAAAATTGGTTGTTTTTTTTCGTTTTTATCCTTAGTAATAATTACTTCTGAAGGTAGAAATAACACATAAATAGAATAAATATTCAATGAATAGAGATTATATCTTAAATAAGAGTAAAATAGTCTAATTTTTTTCTTAACTAATACTTCTTAAAGGGCGTGTAAAAGAAAAATACGACACGTGGTATAAGATGAGGGAGTAGCTTCGGAGGGAATAAAAGACCTGAAACATGTGGAATAATGGAGAGAGGAGAGGGCTATATTTCTCATCTAAATTTATTAGTAAAATTAAGGTTTAGATCGAAGCACAAAGCTCTAGAGTCCAGAATCAAAGTGTGGTTCTTTTGGACACAAGAGACCGAAATAGGTGAAAAAAATATTGGTAACCTTTCTATATATAACGCCATTTTAAAGAGTGTTATGCTTTAACGTTAGTTTTGTCCGTTAAGGTATAATGCGGTAAATAACCGTGTTATACCCAATGTTTATTTTAATGCATAGCGCTCTAAACAAAAGTGCTATATGTGTTTGCATTTTCAGTAACACCTGTTATGTGCCCCCTCTCTCTCTCTCGCCATTGATGGCACTAATTTTCTTTTTCTTTTTTCTTTTCTGGTTTTTTAATTCATTTTTTTCTACTATGGCTACCCAAATCTATTTTTCGAGGGATAACTCGTAGAAAAAGGTTTTGAAAACTAAAAAGAAATAAATCTCCGATACAACTTGAAATAAAAGGAATATTATTTCCTCATAGGTGGGGCATGGTAAAAATGAATTAAAAAATATATTTGAGTAGCCATAGCGGAGCAAATGAATTAAAAAAGCCAGAAAAGAAAAAAGAAAAAGAAAATTAGTGCCATTAGGGCTGCTTATTGGGCGGATTGGGCGGTTATTTACTCTTAACAGTTTGACTTATCGGTTATCGACTTTTAAATGTATTAATCCGCTAGCCACCCGATAAGATATCAGGCGGATTGGTATCAGTTTAGCTCTTATCGGGCGGTTATCGTCCTAATTCAATCTATATTGCGTGCATTAATTGTTTGTTGACCGTTGTGACTCAAAATAAAATTCCTATGCTCAGCAGACTACATTCCAGTCTATAGAATATGGCACCTAAGAAGAGAGCTAAATAGAAAGAAATAGAGAGCTACATTCCAGCGTATTTCCCAGTAGAATCATCACTGGGGATGAGCCTATTAAGAACTTATAATTATCGGAAGAAATAGAAAAGAACACTAGGTATTATATATGACATCAAAAATATCTAATAATAACTAACTGGAATAGTAAATTATAACTAAATGTCTAATAGTAAATTAGTAATAGAGAATAGAGATAGAGTATTGGAAGTGGAAAAAGGGTTTTTGATTATTTAATATATATATAGATAAAAATAAATTATATATATATATATATATATATATATATATATTCTTAACAGGTTAACGAATTATCCGTTAAGAAAATTGAATAATCCGCCCCCAAACCGTTAAGCCGTTAATAAAAAAAATTCAATTCGTTCCCCGTCAGTTAAACCGTTAAACCGATACCAATAAGTCATTAAGCTTCGGTTTCGATTCGATTTTCGGTTTCGGTTCGATTTTGAACACCCCTAAGTGCCATTAATGGAGAGAAAGAGGGGGCACATAGCAGGCGTTACTGAAAATACAAACAAATATAGTGCTTTTGTTTAGAGCACTATGCATTAAAATAAACAATGAATATAGCGCGGTTATTTATCGCGCTATACCTTAACGGATAAAAGTAACAATAAATTATAACGCTCTTTAAAAAGACGTTATATATAGAAAGGTTACCAATTTTGTTTTCCACCTATTTCGGTCACTTATGTGCCCAAAAGAACCGCACTTTGTCAGTAGTAATACGGGCGAATCAATTGCCCGATTCTATATAGGAGTAATTGATACTGAAGAAATAGGCAAGTCGTCTGAGTTGCTCATCTGACAAACTGGACAGCATAGTAGTAAAGTGAATAGAAAAGTCAAAAAATATAAACAAAGAAGACCTCTGAATCAGCAAAGACTAAATAATGGCTCAGATCTAATCAATAAAAAGAAAAAGAAAACAGAAGAAGGTATTCCTATAAATCAAAGAAATCAGCTCTGTGAAAGCTTTCTTCCATCTTTCTCACATTTTACACTTGTATAAATCTAAGTATAATATATGCTCATGGCATTAATCTTTTAAATAAACTTCGAAGCTGTTCTAAATCGGGAAATTCAGGTAAGAATTAATTCGTATTTTCCTTTACAGTTGATAAGTATTTCTTTCTGCAAGTCAAAGAAAGGCATGCTTTTCACTATGTCGTAAAGCGTACAACTATTCATTGCCTGGAGTCAAATCTGATTTTCTGCCAATTTTTCTTTCATTTTTTTTATAGGTTCCGACTATTATTATGTTTGTTTTATCCGTATGTTTCACAGTTCTCAGATCGATTATCAACATAGATATTCTTCAGTTTACCTAGGATCCTTTGACCTTGTTCCTTCTTACCTTGTTCTTTCTTATCATTATGAATTCATTTCTTTTCTTTAGGGAAGCCGTGAAAATAACGAGAAAGATCAAACATGTGCTCCCTCCGGCCAAATTTATGTAGTGAAATTTCCTGATTACAGAAATTAAGAAAGGAAGAAACACTTTTGAAACTTCTGGTAAAAAACAAGTCATGTGTAACTATTAATAGAAAGTCTAAACTTAAATTATTTCTTAATATAAAGATGTTGGGACTGAAGGAATAATAATACAATTGATATTTGCTTGCTATAAATCATCAGGGTAAAAATTAAATATAGAAGTGTTCAAACAAAAGGGGGATAGTACTCGTCAAAGTAGCTTCTACTTTAAAGTAGTGATGGTAGATTAATTACCATTTTTATCAATTGATGTTATTTAAGTAACTTACAGTGATGTATAAATATTTTCTACAGTACAGTATTTAATTTTTTCAATGAAACACCCGCACCCTACGATCCCACATACATGCAACTTGGTGAACTTTCTTCTAGTGATTTAGTGAAGTTGTGAAGCTAAAGTTCCTTTTTCCCTTGCAATTTCCAGCTCAGGGACGATCTTGAAATCACGTGCAGAGAAATATGTCACTCGACATCCGAGAGTGGGTGCAATCCCATTTGCCTAAGAATGATGCTTTGGGCTTTTCCAGTTTCCTTGTTGACAGCTTGAAGGAGCTCTTGTCTTTCCATTCTGGTTCACTTGCATCTGTAAAGGACCAACTTGAGGTGTTCTATGAGGAGCTTGAGTCTTTGCAACCTTTTCTGAAGGGTGTAGCAGAACAAGGCAATAATGAACATGACGAAATTATTCACAATTTTGCTGAAAGAGTCATTGATAAGGCATATGAGGTTGAGTATATAATTGATTCTTTTGTAGTTGGAGATGTTCCTTTGACTTATCTTACAGAGTGGCTCTCAGAAATCATACGGGAGATTAAGCTTATCAGGGCAGAGTTGACCAGATATAGGGAAAAGAAAATGACATTTGCCTCCCCTGCTAGTAATGAAGAACTGGTGGGTTTTGACGATGTCAGAGAAACTATAATGGGTCGACTGCTTAGAGGATCACGAGAGCTGGATGTTGTTTCCATCGTTGGTATGGCTGGATCTGGTAAAACAACCCTTGCCCGAAGTCTTAAAAATGATCCGATTATTGTTTCTCATTTCGATATCCAGGCAGAGTGTCGTGTTACTCAGGTATACACGCGTAAAGACCTGCTACTTTCTATTTTGAGTAATATTGCTTATTATGAGCCTTCTGAACTTAGTAAAGGAGATGATTATGAATTAGCTGATAGACTAAGAAAAACTTTATTCACAAAGAGATACCTTTTAATCATTGACGATGTGTGGGATGTAAAAGCATGGGATCATTTGTGGTTATGCTTTCGTGATACTAATAATGGTAGCAGAATCATTTTGACCACCAGACTTCAAGAAGTTGTTGATTATGCTAAATGTGTTTCTGAACCCCATCACCTGCGGCTTTTGAGCGAGCAAGAATGTTGGTTGTTACTACAGAAGAAGGTATTCGGGAAAGAAATCTGCTCTCAAGAGCTAAAGGAAGTAGGGCAACAAATAGCCAAAAAGTGTAAAGGACTACCACTTTATGTTGTTTTAGTGGCTGGTCTTCTAGGACGCATAGATAAGACAAAACAATGGTGGAAGCGAGTGGAATTAAGGTTTGGTGAACTTATCCAGGTTGAAGCAAATGCGTTAGTAAAACTAAGTTACAATCATTTACCTGATATACTGAAACCATGCCTTCTATATTTTGGAGCGATTTCGGAGGGCAAGGAGATTTCAGTTGCAAAATTAACAAGCTTATGGATCGCGGAGGGATTCATAAAAAATGTCAGAGAGAAGCACTTGGAGGACATTGCAGAACATTACTTAGAGGATTTGATCAGAAGAAGCCTCGTCATGGTAGTTAAGAGATCAAATAGGAAGTTAAAAGCATGTCGTCTGCACGATCAAGTGCTCGAGTTCTGCAAGGCAAAAGCTAAGGAAGATAATTTCCTACTGGGCCTCAAAAGGTATTTAGCCTATTTCTATATGCTTATCTCATTTTTGATTAATTCAGACTTTTGCTCTTGTTCCTTATCCTACTTCAAATTTTCATTGCCAGAAACTACATTGCCAATCCTCCACAATTTTTTTCTGAGAAGTCTTCGCACCGCCGCTTATCATTTTGTTCTAATGGAGATGGTGAACTTACTGATTGGAGGCCATCATGCTTGCACGCTCGTACGGTATTATTCGGAGAGGTCAAGAATGGTACCTTACCTTCACTGGAACATGCCTCAATAATCTTTGGCAGCTTCAAGTTTCTTAGGGTGTTGGATTTGGAGTTCGTTGTTGTGGAATCTTTTCCCACTGAACTTAACCATCTAAGGTACCTCGCTGTTCAAACTACTGCGGATTCTATCCCGTCATCTATTGAAAATCTTCCGAATCTTCAGACTTTCATAGCCAAAAGAACTAGAGGACAACAGATACATTTGCCAAATAATTTTTGGAAGTTGATTAAGTTGAGACATGCAAGCATTAGTGATAGAGCTTCATTTAATTTGCACAACGCACAAGAATCTCTTGATGTGAGCACCTCAAAACTGGAGAATTTGGCAACACTTTGCTATCCATATGTTTCCAGTGCGGAAGATATGGAGAGGATAGTGAGCAAAACACCCAATCTTCAAAAGTTAAAATGTGTCTTTGCGGATTCATGGGGTTGGAAAAAGAATGAAAATGGATTCCCTGTATTACACTCCTTACATCGACTTGAAACGCTAAAGGTGCACTTCTTCAATTTTCCAAAAGTAGGTCCTTCAAGATTAAACTTTCCAATGAATCTGAAGAAATTGACATTAAGTAATTTTCCTCTGCCGCATGCTGAAATTTCAACCATTGCCAAACTTCCCAACCTTGAGATACTTAAACTGCAACAAGTTGCTTTTGAAAGGGAGGAATGGGAGGTGAGAGATGAAGATTTCCCTCAGCTCAAGTTGTTGAAGCTAGAAAACCTCAAACTCTCAAAGTGGAGAGCATCTGATGAAGTCTTTCAGAGCCTTAGGCGATTGGTCGTAACAAGATGTTTAAAACTCGAAGCACTCCCTCTTTGTTTCGCGGATTTGTGTAGTTTGGAGTGGATAGAGGTAAAGTCATGCAATCAATCTGTTGCCGACTCAGTCATGGCTATCCGAAATACACAGGTTGAAGATTGTGGGAATGATGATTTCAAAGTTTCTATTGAGCTTTGAAATAATGAGGCTACAGATCCGCAGCCTTAAGTTTATTTCAAGTCCAATGGCAGGTACAATCTTAAGCAACTACTGATATTTCTCTTAATCATATCTACTCTGTTGAATATATATATATATATATTCCTCTTTGCAAAATTTTCGTGCTATTAATTATAACTGATCAACCTCTTATTCCTTCTTCTTTTGTTTTTATAATGAATGATCGTGTGTGTTGATTAACTTCTTTTTCCTTGTTATTGCAGCTTTTCTTTGTTTTCGCTGTTTACTTGTTTAGTGTTGGCTGTCCCGGTCTCGGGGTTCAGTTGCTGCTGCTTAATGCTACTCAGTTTAACTACTTCGTTGTACTTTTGTAACATGTGAATGTACCTAATCTTATGACCTTTTAAAAAAAAAGATAAATTATGACTTTATTTCCTTTTAACGTAATGGATTGGTAGAACATTGTTGATGGTTCATAAAACATTTCGTTACACTATTTGACAAACTAGTCACTCGATATGTGCGCAGGTGTACGTTAGTACAAGTGTGTATAGAAAATAATGAAAATTTAAAGATGAAAGTTGCACATATCAACCAATATAAAAAATCGATTATTGTTATAATAAATCCAATGCATTTGATAGATGTCTATGTTGGGATATATACTATGTATTAACCATGGATTTGGTTTAGATATAGTATTTATTACGGGTGTACAAAGAAAATCGACAAATCCCACCAAATCGATAATCCGAGTCAAACCGAGAAAAACAAATTCGACTATGGTTTGGTGTTTGGGAAAAAAAAACCCGACCATAATTGGTTTGGTTTGGTTTTAACTAAAAAAAGTCAAATCGAAACCAAACCAACCCGACATTACATTTATGTAAGTTTTAAATATATTTAATACATAAAAATATTTATTCTAGTGTAGTTTATCAATATTACTTAAACTTTTTCATAATTTTATCTTTTAACGTATTATTTCAAGTTTGGACTTATAATTTTTGAATGCTCCAATAAGTTTTATGGTCCATAAATGTTAGTAACTCAAATAAATCCCAAACCAAAATCAAATCAATATTAATATTAACAAAAGACATTCAATTCAGTTGCTAGGAATGACATATCGATTTATTTAGTTTTTAGATAAAATGCAAAACTTATTTTTTTTAGTATTTAGTCATGTAAATAATAGTACTTATTAGTCGTACTTATTTTAGCAACTTAGTAATTTAAGCTTATGTTTATTTTTATTATATATGGCTTATTAATAATATTTATTTTATGCAATTTTATTGTCTTTATTGTTGAATTTTTAGTACAATGCCATGACTTTATATCATATTTTATGTTAGTTTCTTGGAAATACCACATATAGTTATGTCTTACTAGGATTAAAGAAATATTTGGAGCACAAATTCTATGTTTTATGCTATGAAAATTATACGGAAAAGGGCCAAAACTACCCCTGAAATATTTAAATTCGTACAAAAATGCCTTCCGTCCACTTATTTGAATAAAAATGCCCCTACCATTATTTTTTGGCTCAACATTACCCTTATCACTAACAGAAAATTCTTGAAAAAAAGAAAATTTAATTAATATTCACGTGTCACTGTCCTATTGGCCTAACTTAAACTTCATCCCAAATATAATTAAATTCACTCGTAACCTGTTCGAATATTGATCTGCTCCGATTTTAAAATACACCTCTCTCTCCCTGTCTCTTTATGCCTTCTTCTCCTCGTTGCTGCTTAGGCGGAATCCACCGGCGAATCCGTCGAAAAATAGCAAACAAACACAACAGCCCCATCTAATTGAGAAAATGGAACCCATGATAATAAAATAAAATTCAAAAGAAGAAAACAAATACTAGTGAAGAAATTAAATAAAAAATTGCCAACTATTATTAGTACATCATATGAACCAAGTGTATGTGAAATGTGATAATTGTACAATACCTGTTACACAGAGCAGAAAAGCTTACATATTAATAAAGCAAATAGCGAAATAGATTTAAAATAAAAATACACATTACATAAACAGTAAAAAAAAAACTAGAAAAAAAATCCTTAGATTTTCAAGGAGAAATAACAAAAATTAGTAAAGAAAACCCCCAGAAATTTTGAATAAAAAAACTTACACAATAAAGAATAACCATCAAACAAACAAAAATGAATCTAAACTTTTTGGCATAAAGAAGAATATGACACTTCCTTTTATCGTCCATAAAAATAATTAATAGAGAACTTAATTTTGGGTTTGCTTCATGAATAATCATAGATATATTCATAAAAAACGCTCATTAAAACTAAAATGGGAGAGAGAGAGTTATGCTTTAAAATTGGGACAGGCAAATATCTGAGCGGGTATCAAGTGGGTTTAATTATAATTTGGCTTTGGGTTTACGTTAGGCCCATGAGGTGGTGACATTTGGATATTAATTTTGTTTTTTTTCCCAAATTTTTCTGATAGTATCAAGGGTAATCTTGAGCCCAAAAATAACGGCAAGGGCGTTTTTGTTCAAATAGGTAGATGGGGGGCATTTTTGTTCAAATTCCGATACGTCAGGGACAGTTTTGGCCCTTTTCCGAAAACTATATGAAAAAACCCCGAAACAACCCGAAAACTCAAGAAAAATCGAGATTAAAAAATCCGACTTTTATTAGTTTGGTTTGGTCTTTAGATTTAATAACCCGACGTAATTGGTTTGGTTTGGTAATTAGAAAACCCGAACCAACCTGGTCTATGTACAACCCTAGTATTTATTATGGAATAATTATTTATTCAATTTTGATAAAGGTTTAAGTAGACCATATGTTCGTCTGTGTCCTTTACTTATATAGTAGATGATTTAGTGTATAGAGTTTAGCTCATACACGGAAGGTTAAATCATCGGTTCTTATAAGTATAACGATTATATTCACAATCTAATAATGAAATTGGACAAACCATCAGGAATGATTGTATCACAAGATTAAATATAATTTATCTTGATTATAATAATGGTTTAATTCTTATAATTCCGAGGTCGTTTACACATAAGTCAATATTCGGTCAACTTTTCCAACTTAAGTTTTTCAATTATGAGACTAAGTGTCTCGTTTCACTTCGAATTCCTTTCGGACCCGAACAAACTAACCCGATAAACCATAAAATAACTGTAAAACATAAATTGAGTAGTAAATGGGGGAACGGGGTTATAATACTCAAAATGACTGGCCAGGTCGCTACATCTGGATAAGATTTCAGTTGGTCAATGATGAACCTTAAGGTTCATTGAAAGTAGAGGCGCTACCAACTTGTGGATCCTGTTTAGAAGGAAATATGACTAAAATATATGTATGCTCCAAAGGAAAGAGAGCTGGTGATAAGTTAGAACTAATCCATTTTTTATTGTACTGTCTAATGAATATATAGGCAAGAGGTGATTTTGAGTATTTTATGACATTATAAATGATTACTCAGACTATGAATATATTTATTTGATGCACCGTAATTTTGAATGCTTTGAATAATTTCAAGATTTTAAGGCTTGATACTGAGAAGCATAATGAAAATATATTAAATTACTACGATCTGATCGTAGGTATCTAGGACTTCTCTACAAAGTTCATTAGTTACTTATCAAAATAGAAGATTGTATCTCAATGTTTATACCAGATACTCCATAATAGAGTGGTGTAGTATAAAGAAAAAATATAACTCTTATGGAGATATTTAGATTAATGATGAGTTATTCTGATTTATTTCTGTTTTCGTTATGGATATGCCTTAGAAACTGCAATTACATTCTCATTTTAGTTCTTTCTAAGTCAGTATCTTGGGCCCCATAGAATTGTGGACTTAATGTAAGTCCGGTTTGGGGCAAGTTCGGATATAGAATTGTCCAATATATATATATATATATTGAAAGGGAAAATGGATAAGATAAAATCAAGGATGAATGTTTGCGCGTTTATTGGATATCCAAGGGAACGAAAGGAAGTTTATTTTATTTTCCTAAAGAAAAGAAGTTAATTGTTAGCACAAATACCAGTTCTCTATAATAGGATTATTTAATAAACTATGTTCCTAGAAGTAAACTAGATTTACAGGAACCAAGCAAAGAAATAACAAATAAATCATCTGAAAATTCAAACGCTCAAGAACATACAACTCCATATGTCGGAATTGATGTTCCATTGCATTTAAGTAGTGGAAGAAATGTTAATAGACAAAAAAAAAATTTACTACCTCCAAGTAGTGGGAGTGATGCTGAGCAGAGAACACTACAGGAAGAAGTCATTAATATTTCAATATCGTAAGATAATGAAGATAATATTAGTAGTACTTCATCGTAGTGGGAGAATAGTAAGGAAATCATAGTTTGGTATGTGCTCTTGGTAGAGTTTCATAACAAGATCCCTAAAGAACTTAATACCAAACTAGTTAGTTACGGCAAAGCACTACTAGACAAAGATTGCATTTGAAACTAACTTGGCAAGTTCTTTTTAGCAAAAGCTTATTGATAGAGACTTTTAATAGTTGTGCAAAAGGATAGCTGTGAAAGTTATAGATACATGGTTATGAGTCTAAGTGGAAGATTATTAGGGCATATACTATTAACCATACATTTAGATATAGTATATTCTAATACTTCATTATCATGATTAAAAGTCTAAGTGGGAGATTGTTGGGATATATACTATTAACCGTGGATTTGGTTTGAATATAATATTTATTATGGAACAATTGTTTATTCATTTGTAATAAAGTTTTAAATAGATCATATGTTCGTATGTGTCCTTTACTTATATAGTAGATGATTTAGTGTATAGAGTTTAGTTTATACATGGAAGATTAAATCATCGGTTCTTATAAGTATAAAGATTATGTTCACAATCTAATGATAGAATTGGAAAAACCATCAGGAATAAATCTAGCACAAGATTAAATATAATTTATCTTGATTATGAGAATGGTTTAATTCCGACTTCTTGTGCTAGTATATATTAGATGTATTGAACGAACTAAGTAGAGATAAGTATTTTATACTGATTTAATAAAATAACTTTTCTAGCCATTAAACATACTTATACTCTTAATCTTGATATAATTACTATTAGTTGTGTATATTATTTATTGTTTTAATTTATTAAATTGCAAGATTCTTTTGTGGGTCAATATGCCTGGTAAACTGGACAATGATGATATACATTGGCGAAGTAATAGTTAGTTGTTGGAATCCATGTCTCGGTCTAGAGATTGATGACACACCTTTATGAAAGCTTATAAGTTTTTATGTGTAAACCCTGCAGGTGAATTTTGGATCCGTCACATGAAATAAATTAAGCAAAAGTCTAAAGAAAATAATTAATGAATTAAACTGTCAGTAATTTGATTTATTTGATTAGTATCTGAATCTTAACATGGGGAGTTAAATAGGGTTT